AGCTGAGATATAGTTGGGTCCATGGAAAAGCTCTTTGCAGATTTCTAGCGCCAAAGAAAGGAAGGCAAAGCCACCCAAAGCTACGCCCGCAGTGATGCAAAGGCAAAGGAAACCAAACAATTGGAGACCCAGAAGCAGCCGCGCCACGATCAAGCTTCCATAAGAGGAAGCAGGCTTTGAGAACGCCTTCATCGGTCTCATCCTCAGGCTCCATCTGCGGCTCAAACTTGGCCACCATGGAGTCGAAGTCACTCTGGCTCAACTTTGCAGCTTGGACTGCAGCCCACTCGGAGAGGGGCATAGATGCAACTTTGCAAAGAACTGACCTCTTGCCGAAGACGGAGGAGAAGAACTCTCTATGCTCAACCTTCGTCACATTGGAAGCATCTCCAGCGCTGTTTGGTGCACAAGGCGTGGAAGGCCTCTTCCGCTTGGAGGAAGGCGGGACAGCCTGCTGAGCTTTCATGGTGGCAAGCTCTTCTCGCATGCTTTGGAGTTGCTCAGCCAAATGGCATTGGATCTCACTCTTGGTACTCACCTGCGACGGCTGATCTTGGGAGCGACGCTGCAAGACCTCTTTTCGAAGCTCGGAGAGGAGTTGCGCTGCATCGGCCTCAATCTGAGTTGCCTGAGGTGGCTGAGATTTGGTCATCTCTGCCCGAAGAGATGCAATCTCATCATGGAGGAGCTTGAAGCTGGCATCCTGAGCAGGAGCTGGCTCAGCACACTGGTGTGAGAGAGCCGGCGTGTTCATACCAGCAACGGGGGGTCAACACCGAAGCAATGGCCTGCAACTGTTGCTGAGCAGCAATCTCACTTTGAAGCTGATTGAGCAATGATGGCAAGCTGGTGCTTTTCCCATTTCCTTTCCCTGCAGATTTCCCATAGTTGGTGAATGAGCCGAAGCGGCCGCCACCACCACGATGATTCCAAGAGGAGCCGTATCCACGCCACTGGTAGCCGGACATGACTAGCAAATGGGCCGGCTTGTGCTTGCTATAAGGTCAGGCTTGAACCAATAAAGTGAAATTAATCAATTACCCAGAAGAACCAAGCAAACCAAAACCAGAGAAGTGCATCAAATAAAACTTCGAAATTCAATCGCGCCAAGTGTCAGCAATTCGCGCAAACATGGGGTTAGAGAGATGTCTGACCCAGGTGCGGCGCACATAGCTCGTAGAGAATCCACTTCTCTGCCATATATTCATACAATAAAAAAAATTGCATCGGCCAGACCATCAACATTATTATTGCAAACATTTCCTTTTCCATCCAAATAGATTTGCATCAGCCTCGCCTGCGTACCCAAGATTCTAGCCTTTGCGTTTTGAACTTCTAAACCGTGAAAGGGTTCAAGACGAAACTTCTTGGGGTGCGAGGAAGTACCAGCAATCCACTGTTCTTCAGGTTTTTGCATCGTCAGCAGTAATTCAACACCTTGAAAATGAACATCCATATCCAACCATGTTCCACAGGAAGCAGAACTATTCTGACGTTCATACTGCGCGCATGACTTCTGACAAAGACATTGGAAAAGGCATTGAGAGCACAGATATAGGCTGATAAGACAACAGTCATCTACGTATCTGCAAGCAGCAACTTGACGACGCCACAAAAGAGATACATCCAAGCCAAACTGTACCTGTCGGTGATTACTGTATTCCCAGGCATACTCTTCAGCGCAAAGTACAAGTGAAGTCTGGCATTTACTGAGTAGACCACCTATGGGAACACCGCGCAGCTGCCTATACACAAGGTTACCAACAGATACGAATTTTTGGCTCAAACTCAACGTGTGAATAGAACGGAGCTGCTCAAAGGTCAGTAGATCTACGTTGTTGTGCTTGTGGAAGTTGTGTTTTGCCAGAAAACCATGTAGCTTGCGAGTTTTCAGCACGGCTACACCAATATACCCTGCATCCTTAGCCAGACCAATGTAGAAATCCAAGCAGGTCAGCACCAATCCAGAATCAATTGCTTCGTACATGGTGCCAGCATCAGCAACAGCGACTTCGATAGCGTGTTTCTCTGAAGAACAATTGGTGCATTGCAGCAAGGGAGCCACAGGGTGGACAATATGTTGGAAACGCCGACGAAGCATGGTAGCAGCAGTGGACAATGAAGTGACTTCATCCCCCCAGACCAAGCTTGATAATCAATATCATGGTAGCTCGGGAAACTTTTCGGAACAGATTTTTCCAACTACGTTCCATCAGACTGTAGCTAACAATCTTTCTCATACAACTGTGTGTCTCATTGCAGCATGTTCGTCGTCCAGTCACAAAGCATTTTGCTTTAACAGTTGCATACGTGTACGGCAAGCTGCCCGGCACCACAGTTGGCCGCCAGCGAGGACCAAATCCCGCGCAAGCCACGCTATCAAAACAAGCTTTTTTGAATTGCCACGCATCTTCAAGACTCAAACAAGTCAGCTCCCATTTGGAGGCTTCTTTTTCAAGCAGGAAAATGACGCTAAGGCAATAGTCACGGATGGGAATGAGCCAAGCAGCCGATGGATCTTTATCTTCTGCAACCAGCACTTCATCCAATGAAGGTTGCACAAATGCATCATGCATCTTTCGGTCATGATATTGAAAAGAAGCCAACGCACTGCAAGTCAGCTGAGCACAAAGGGAATACAAATCATTCAAAACCAGCTCAAAGACCCCCCAAAGGGGAGCACTTTGCAAACATGCCAAATTTCTTCATATCATCAGACATCTGTTGCCACAGCTGTCCAGCAACAATTGGCTGTCGCATCTTATGAAACAGCTTGAGCTGACGAAAGAATGTTCCATTCCAAGCACTCAATTTCTCCGCGCGATCAAACCCCAACCATTTCTTACCATCCATGTTGCGAGCCACTCTGACCATGTTAAACCACCTCTTGTAAGTGACCGCAGCATCTGGAACCAATGACACCATGCTAATAACATGTTTGAAGCGCAACCGAGAGCCCGATCCAATTGAACGCCAATGGTGGTTCAAAATTTGCCAAACATCGCATGTAGCAACAGGCCAGGGAACTTTCCACACAAAAGTGCCAACTCGAGTCTCCCCAAAAAAAATTCGAGCAACCTATTCAAGCGAGCAACAGCTACTGATCGAAACAGTTGAGAGTGAATCACGCCAACAACTTGGGCAGCATGAAACAAAAGGTTGCGCGCAACACGCTGAGTGAGTTCCGCAAAGTCAAAGGCATGCTTTGGTCGGGAAAGAAATGCAACAAACAATAGAGGGCAAAGAAAAATGGAAAGCGGTCCAATAGCTCGTCTCATCTGAAGCTGCTTCATGTACAGCAATCGAAAAGGCATGTTGAGTGCGG